CACATGTTCTAATGAAGTGAAGGACACACATGTTCTAGTGAAGGACACACATGTTCTAGTGAAGGACACACATGTTCTAAATGAAGGACACACATGTTCTAGTGAAGGACACACATGTTCTACTGAAGGACACACATGTTCTAGTGAAGGACACACATGTTCTAGTGAAGGACACACATGTTCTAGTGAAGGACACACATGTTCTAGTGAAGGACACACATGTTCTAAATGAAGGACACACATGTTCTAGTGAAGGACACACATGTTCTAGTGAAGGACACACATGTTCTAGTGAAGGACACACATGTTCTAGTGAAGGACACACATGTTCTAGTGAAGGACACACATGTTCTCCTGAAGAACACTGAGTTATTATTAAATTTAATTAATATTATATTGATCTGCTCAGAGCATCAAACCAGAGAAGGAGTGGAGCCTGAAGACCATGAAGATCTACATCGGCATCAGGAAAAAACTCAAGGCCCCCACCAGGTAAAGTCCTGATCCTAGACCTATGTAGACCTGGTTTAGTCCTGGTGTAGACCTCGTGGAGTGCTGGCTAGGACCAGATTAAGACCTAGTTCAAACGTGTTTTGGACACCGTTTAGATCTGGTTTAGACCTGGTTAAGAGCGGGTTAGGAACTAGTTTAAACCTGTTTTTAGCACCTAGTTTAGACCTGTTTTAGACTTGGTTAAGTTTAAGTTTAAACCTGGTTTGGACATAGTTTAGACCTTGTTGAGACCTGATTGAGACCTGTTTCAGTCCTGCTTTAGACCTGCTTTAAACCTGTTTTAGTCCTGTTTCAGTCCTATTTTAGTTCTGCTTTAAATCTGTTTTAGAACTGTTTCAGTCCTGGTTTAGACCTGCTTTAGTCCTGTTTCAGTCCTGCTTTAGACCTGTTTTAGACCTGCTTTATACCTGCTTTAGTCCTGTTTTAGAGCTGCTTTAGTCCTGTTTCAGTCCTACTTTAATTCTGCTTTAAATCTGTTTTAGAACTGTTTCAATCCTGCTTTAGTCCAGCTGTAGGCCTGTTTTAGACTTGTTTCAGTTCTGCTTTAGACGTATCTTAGTCCTGCTGTAGACCTGCTTTAGTCCTGGTTTAGACCTGATTTAGAACTGTTTCAATCCTGCTTTAGTCCTGCTGTAGACCTGTTTTAGACTTGTTTCAGTTCTGCTTTAGACGTATCTTAGTCCTGCTGTAGACCTGTTTTAGACCTACTTTAGTCCTACTTTAGACCTGATTTACAGTGACCAAATATTCTGTTGTCTTTTCGTTGTAGATGGGGCTTCACAGTGATCTCACACAAACACCAGCTGTGAGTTTATTCGTTTATTCTTAGAGTAAATACAGTTTTTATTTAGTTTTTGTGATATAACTCCTTTATTCTCTCCTCTAAACACGAGCAGGTTCCTGTGCTGCAGCGGGGAGGCGGAGCTGTGGGGCTGGATCACCTGTTTCCTCAAAGCTCAGGTCGGAGAAACCACAAAGTTAAACAAGTTCCAGAGGTTAAACTTGCAGTCCCCTGTCAGTCCACCAGGGCGCGCTCATATAGATTGTATTGTGTGTTTTTCTTGTAGAACGATGAAGCGCCCCCTGCCATCCTGCGCAGACACTCGTCCTCTGACATCTCCAAGCAGAAGTTCGGGACGATGCCTCTGGTCCCCATCAGAGGAGACGAGAGCAACAACAGCATGCTCTCAGCCAATCAGACGCTGGTATGTGCTCAGGGGGCGGGGCTTAGCATTTAACTTTTTAAATTTTTCTTATTTTAATAACTTATCATCTGATGGACCCAGAAGTACAATATAAAAAAACTTTCTCCTAATTCGATCTTCTTGTTTTTCTTTAGAGAAAACTGCACGACAGAAGGACCCTGTCCATGTACTTTGTAAGTCTGTTTTGATGATGATGTTTTCTCTTATGTTTTATCTATATCTGTGGGATCAATATCAGACAGAGAGTATTTGTGTGGTGTGGCTCAGTGGTAAGGGTCGTTCACACCAAAGCGTCAAAGCGTCCAGTTTCTATGTAAAGTCTATGTGGACGCGCGACTAGAGCGTCCTGCGTTTTTGCGGTGCGTCTTTGGCGTCAGCGCGACGCGAATCTGGCGTCAACGCAGCGCGTCTTGAGCGTTTTTCGCATCGACGCTCTATACGCGCGTCCAAGGCGTCAGCGTCAGAAGTTGAAAATGCTGAACTTTTTGCGTCAGACGCGCCGCGTCAACCAATCAGGGACGCAGTTATTATCAGGAAGAAAAACCCGAGAACCAGAGCGAGAACCACAAACATGAGCGGAGCATGAATATATACGCCACAATCACCGAGACAATCGCGAGGATTACACCAGGACCGGACCAGGACTAAACCAGGACTAGACTGAGACTAGACCGGGACTAAACAAGGACTAGACCGGGAGTAGACCGAGACTAAACCGGGACTAGACCGGAACTAAACCAGGACTGATCCAGTGTCATTAGCGGAGTATAAATATATTCACTCTCCAGTCGTCGACCCGATCTCCTCCGCTGATGGTTTTACGTTATAAAAACACTAAAGTCTCTCTCAGTCTGGTCTGACATCGTTTCAGGAAAAGACCGGGACCGGGCTCTTGTTTCCAAGGCAACGGACGCGCGTCAAGTATTTTTCTCCCGTTCATGTTTATGTTTATACTCACCACCATGTCTTTTATGACAGCAGATGCCCATGGAGCATAATCATGAGAGCTGTCACCATAAGGACAGTCAAAGCAGCGTTTAACATCATAACCATGGTTCAGAATCATCCTAAGCATAACCTCATCTTTTAAAGCATACTGAAGAGCCGAGGGGAAGTGTGTTGTGTTTACTCTCGAGTAGTAGTTCACATTCGCCCCAAACTTTAACAAAATGTTGATCATTTCATAGTTGCCCTGTCGGAGAGCCAGTTGTAAGCAGTTGACTGGATCCTGGTTTACCATAGCTCCAGCCTCAAGCAGCAGGCGACTGCACTGGAGGTCACTGTTGGACACGGCAAAGAAGAGAGCAGACCTTCGTTCGTCGTCATAGTTGCGGCGAACTCGTGGGTGGAGCATGAAGTTTGGATCATAGCCAGCTTTGAGCAGTAGGTCTACACAGTGAGCATGGCCTCCAGCAGCTGCAGAGTGGAGAGGGCTCATGCCACTGTCCTTGACTGCATACAGGTCTGTCACTGGGATTAGCCTCTCCAGAGCTCTGTCAAAGAAATGCATTTAACTCTTACTCCTCTATAAGTATTGAACCACGGCCTAACAATGCGACAGTCCTGAGAAGGTCATCTATGAACATTAAATACAACTCAATTAGTATTTAGTAGGGAAAATAGTTCATTAACAATTAAAGAAATTCAAATGTAGTATTTCTCCAGAATGTGCCAGGTCTTAAATAATAAACCAGGACTAAATGTGGACAAAAAACAGGTTTAAAATGAACCTGACAGGGGTAAACTTGGGCTAAACTAAATTAAAACCGAGACTTAATCAGTACCAAGACATAGATCATGCTTGTTTAAACTATACAATTAATGGTGATAGGTGAACTGAAGAACATTTTAGATGTCTGAATTTTGTCCAGTTCTGTGTAAAATTTTAATATTAACGTAAAATATTCCTTACAGGATGTGTCCATGGTAGGCCACACGATGGATTGGCAGGTGTCCGCTGTAGAGAGGTAGGTTAGGATCTGCTCCATGGTCCAACAACAGTGATATGATGTCAGGGTTTCCTGAGGCAGCCGCATCGAACAAAATGGTGCCTGACTCTGACTCACATTTTACATTTGCTCCTAAAAAACAAATGTGTCAAGCACTGAATAACTGTTTGTGAGTACGCTTATATTTGTAATCACACAAATTCTACTAAATTCTGGTACAGGTAAAAAGCGTGTTTTTATTCTGAGAAACTTTTTCATACCTTTCTGTAGTAGAACTTCTACCACGTTAAAATGCCCATTTTGAGCAGCCAGGGCAAGGGGAATTTTCTGTTTGATGTCACATGCGTTTGGATTGGCCCCAGACTCTAGGAGCAGATAGACAAAATTGTCCAGGCCTAGAAACGCAGACTCATGAAGGGCTGTCCGGTTCAGTGGCCCAGTCTGATCCACGTTGGCATTATAACGTAGCAGTAGAGTGGCTAAGTCATACTGATCATTCAAAATAGCTGGAAAAATGAGAACAATAAGTATAATAGTAAATATGTGTTTAGTATGTGATCAGAATGTTTCTTTGTGCTTTTTTTTTTTTAAATGTATGTCTATATGCAGTGTTTACAATTGCTATCTCTGTATTAACTGCAGTTATCAAAATTGATAGAAACAATCAAGTCTTTTTTGTTTATATAACATTTGCATATTTTGTGTTTCTTTATTTCTGTCAAAAAATGTGACAAACTGCCTTCTATTTCAAATAATGAATTAAGATCATATTTTAGAACATTGTGACACTTTGTTTACCATGTTGCACTCTGACTTTAATGAAAACAAAAATTACTATCTCTACAAACAGTCGATACCAGCGACTAAAGGAGAGTCCTGCTCATCGTTCTGGGTGTCTGGGCTACTGCCGTTCTGTAGGAGGAATGTGGCGTTCTCCCTGAGTCCATGGACAATTGCCAAAAACAGTGCTGTCTCACCCTTCAGGGTTCGACACTGTGCCGCACCAGGGGGCGATGCTAAAACATAGTGATAACAATGCATGATATGACACGTATGTTTTCTCTAGCAACTGTTTTATTGCCTTCAGTATTAAACACATTTATACATTTTTATACATTATATATAACCTTATGACATATTTGCCGCCCATAATCAAAATAGTATAAAGACAAAGATAACATAAGTCACGCAATTACCTGAAAAGATGATCTCAAGGATTTGTTTGTTGTCCTGAATTGCTGCTTCATGCAGTGGAATCCACCCACGCTCATCCACTTTACACAGCATCTCAGGTTGGATAGTCAGTCTTATCAGAGCATCTTCATCACCTAAGGTCTCAAACACATGGTTCATTCAGTACTGTTCTCCTTTTGACCTCAGTACAGTCATGACTTCATCTCACCCTCCTTGATTGCTTTATAAATCTCATGTGGATCTTCACTTGATTTCAGATCACTGTTGATCAGAGGTGGAGAGCAATGAGTTACTTTTTGATGACTGTTTCTCGAGTAATAATAATAGTCTACTCAATGGCTATTCTACCAACTTCACGGTTGATTTGAACCTACTCATTGCAAAGGAGGCCACCAAAAATCACAAAGCACTGGTAAATTCACAGAACACATAGGTTAAGAAAAAGACAGATTGTCACCTTGGATTGAGCCCTTTAAGTTTTCTGTATTGGATAAGACTTTGTTCTATTATGTATTGGGTTGCCTCATCTTCATCATCATCAAAGTTGTCGTCTGACTGATAAAAATCATCTTCTGTTTCAGTGTTCATCTGTGTTTATGTCCAGCACGAGCACCAGGAGCTGGGAAAGAGACAAAAGGTAAACAAGATCATAAAGGCTGGAGGCACAGAATGGACACCCCGCGAATACTAACAACAAGAACAGCACTACTGCCGTGACACAGTGAGGCATATTAGAAATCTAAACCTGACGAATTAAATTCAGTCAAAAACTGAAACAATGTTTGCAAGTAAAATTTAAAAGTTAAAGTGCTACACAACTGCGAGTGTAAGTGAAATGTGGTGCAAAATAAAACACTTATAGTAGAACTACATGAGGACAGAAAAGACAGAAAACATGTTTACCTTCATTGAAATGCTGCGCTCGACTGGTCTGCAGGCTCTCAGTTACCCACATACTGTTGCTATATTAGGTGGGCTAAAAATACGAGACCATGGGGCCATCATGGCCAACACTCAGCTCTGACCCACTACATGGACTTAATTTATTGCTTTGCAGTAGCATAATTTCGTTAAGGTTATGAAACAATAAAAAACACATATCTGAAATACTTTAGACATATAAAAACTTGAATTTAATTTGATTTGCAATGATCTACATTTATTTAAAAAATTTGTAATGTCAACAAAAAATGCATTTTGTAGGGGGAAAAAAGTATTGTATGAGGTGTCAGCTCAAATCAAATTTACTCAAACTGTAATAAGGTTACAACACCCCCTAGTGGCCATATGGAGTAACTGTACGTCTATTATTGCTACAGTATTTCATAAGGAAGTATCGAGGGTAATAGGTCCACGCGGTTTGGATGACAGGTAAGTATTTTCAGGACATTATGCATACTCAGAATAAGTCAACTTTTATTTTGCATACTCCAAGAATATATAATTAAATGTAAGATACAAGGGCTTGTATCTTAATCATCAAGCTGACAGAGCATGGCTACTCCACGTTTGACCCAGTGCTGAGGCCTCCTGCTTGTTGGTAACATCATAGTAATGACAAAGTTAGTGGAGTGGCCTGTGGTCGATAGAGTGCCTTTCCTCTCACTGGTTTTATACAGTGGACAAATGTACAGCTTTTGAGACTGAAGGATGTCCTTCTTCTGAGCTACAAAGG